CGTTGCCATTGACTACTTCACCAAGTGGGTCGAAACTAAACCTCTAGCAAGAATCACTGAAACGAACACCACAAAGTTCGTCTGGAAGAACATCATTTGCAAGTTCGGCATTTCTCACTCTTTAGTATCAAATAACGGAAGGCAATTCGGTAACAAAAAGATGCGAGACTTGTGTGACGAACTCAGCATAAGGAAAGACTTCTCAACATTTCATCACCCCCAAGACAACGGGCAAGTTGAGGCAGTGAACATGACTATCAAGCATACCCTGAAAAGGAAGCTTGACGCTTCGAAAGGGATATAGGTCGATGAGCTTCCCCATGTCCTCTAGGCCATTCAAACAACTTATCGAACCACAACAAGTGAAACAACCTTCTTTCTGACCTACGGATTCGAAGCCATGAAACCTGTAGAGATGGGAATTCCCTCTCATCGTCGGATACATTTCAATGAGATCGACAACGATGGAGCTCGAGTGTACGAACTCCACCTCCTTGAAGAAAGGAGAGATTCGTCCCAAATAAAATTGGCTAAGTATCCAAGAAAGATGACCCGCGATTACAACTCCAAGGTTAGAAACCGAACTCTTTGTCTGGGAGACCTCATCCTCGTAATGCTCTTCCAATCACCGATGACAACTAGGTTCGGAGTGTTTGGACCGAACTGGGAAAGTCCTTATTGCATCCGTAAGGAGTCCCAACCCGACACTTATGAAATCGAAGACATGGCAGGGAACTTGTTGCCTCATCAGTGAAACATTGAACACTTGAGGAAGTAATATCAATAATGTGTATGTTCCGATCTGATCTACATTATCCAGTTTTGTAACATCCTTACTAAGTGCTGAAACTGCCTTAGTGAAAGATAATGTAAGTTCCTAAGTTATAATGCCAAGGTTCTTCATTATGTTATGTGGGTTAATCAATTGATCTCAGTTCTTCAGTGCTTTATTTGGGTCAGCCCTTCTATAATTGACTGGTTATTATTGGTAAGTGATACTTAACATTTACTTATCCTTTACTCGACACAAACAGTTCAACATAAAAGTAAAGGGGAGAAGCAACAACACTTGCAAAAATTTAAATTTCATTAACATCGAATGGGTTACTAAACGGGCCGGAGCCATTACATTTAAGATCCTAATCTACATACACCACTAACTCCTTCTCCGGGACTGCTTTAGCCGTCTGGGGAACCTCAGCAGGCTCCTCCGCAGCAATGTCTGGTTGGCCTCCAGTCAGCCCACCGAGCTTCGCTTCTAGGGCAAATACATCAAGTGTTGGATGAACCTCCCTTGGGCGTTCCAACATCGCCTAGGCATTCTACGAAGCCCAGAAGCAAGCAAAGGTGTCATAAAGGGTGTGCTCCTCGAAGTGATCAATGAAGTGCTGCATAGCTGACTCCTCTGCCACATTCATCTCCTCCTTGGGGAAGCCGATCGCCTTGACCTAGGCCTCCGTCCACTGCTTCAGGTCAGCCTTCTCCTTATTCAAGGCCTCCAGAGCCTCCGTTGCCAAACGATGGTGCTCACTGGTGTGATCAAGTCACCTAGTAAGAACTGCCACTTGGGATTTCACTTCGTGGAGCTCCTTCCTCAGCCTCTCCACTAGGCCTCTGCGTCAATTCGCTGATGCTCCGCCTCTGAAGCCTTCGCCTTGGCAGCTTGGATAGCCTCCCCATGCAGAAGATTTACCTCCAGTCGCTGAGCCTCTGTAGTGTACGAGGCCGTGTGATCCTTCCACGCCTCAGTCCAATACCTGCTATGGACCAGTGCCACTGCGACAATCTCTGGGGACAGAGCCTCCAACACCTTCTTAACTTGCTCCTCGTCATTTGTACTGAGGAAGTCCGTCTCCTTCTCCTTCCTCGCCCTCTTCCTCTTCGACCAACTCGGTACTTGTGCTATCGGGGTGGCCAAAATTGGAGCAGCAGCAGATGCCTTGAGGGAAGGAACCACTTTCTCCCTTATTGCGATCCCAGTGGGGATCGTTGTTTGGCGAAGTGATGGGCAGGCCTGGCCATTAAAGGCCCCTTTGCTGACGGACCGACGGCCTTCTTACCCTTCTTCAACAGGGAGGCCCAGGGTCCTCCTCCTCCTCTTCGCCGACCACTGGCTGGGACTTCTTGCTCGCAGACACCAAGTCTTCCATCTGTTATTTATAGGCCGATGAGGAGGTCTTCAAGACCCTTGCTTCGGCCATCATCCTTTGGATTGTTTTAAAGTCCGGCTTGAGAGGCTTCTTCTTGTTAAAGTCGTCTGCATCAATAAAGAAAAATTAGCGTTGCGACCTCGAAAAGTAGTATATCACAACTAGTTCGGGTAAACTACCTTGCGAAGCCATCAATTCGTGTTCGACGAAATGAATATTCTTCCTGATCAATTCGTGGTACGACATCCTCTTTCGGGGGAGCTGGTACACGATGCAAATCATATCAAACTCCTCGGCGAATATCTCGTATCGAGGAAGGACGCCTACAAAAATAACAGGGTTAACAATCGAACTGAAGTAATTAAAACAAAAAAATCTTCAGTACTCACTGAGTGTTGAATACTTGGTAGGGACCATAAGAGGGGCCAAGGGGTCCGCCTCCATTGTATCCCATCTCCCAAAAGCCTAGCACCACGAGGTCTTCCAATCCATGATGGAGTTCGACAGATCGATCATGAATGGAGTGTGGGAACCCCATGAGGTCAGATAATACCATCCTCTGGTTCTATCACCCCCCCCATTGCTGCGTTAGGAATGTGGAGGGTTCGAAAAACAGGGAAAGACATCTCCACCCATAAGACGCCTTCTTTCAAAGCATCCACGACCCAACCATTTGGCTCCAAAAATTTGGATTTAACTGGGTCGGAGGTAAACCATACGACCTTAAAACATACCTAAAGAATGGATGGATGGGTAACCTAAGTCCCGCCCTTAGAATAGCCTCACTAATGGCCACACACCTCGGTCTAGGGTAACATGCCCGCTCGTCTGGCTTCGGCAAAATCAGGTCCATACTGTCTGGGATCCTGTACTCCTTCTTTAGCCTCTCAAGGTCGGAAGACTTCAATTTAGAAGGGTAGTCCAATGCCTCCCAGTGTGTGGAAGTGTCTACTGGACTATCAGGTAGTCTCCAAATGTTTTCCCCCCCTAATATCGCCTTGGATAATTTCGAGAAGGTCGCCAATATTGGCTCTTCAACCCTCACTATGTCCAACTCTCTCCCGGCGACCCATTACCCTCAAAGGCTATATTTTTTCAGAGAGATTGCTAAAAAACTAGAGAATACTTACGAAAATCAATCAGAATGGGTGCCTTAATGCAGGGAAGATCCAAGACCAACTCCTAATACTCACCGGAGATCACAAAGAGATCGGAAAACCTTCAAACACCATCGAAAATCGCTAAAAAAATTTGAGAGCAAAGAGTTTGATTGCATAAAAGTGGAAATCTCTCAAAACGCTCAAGTCCTCTTTTTATAGGAGACTCCAGGCGATCCTCACCGTTGAATTCAAACGATGTCAATCTAGGTCGTTCATCTCATCACAAATCTGGATCATAGAAATGAAACACCAGATTTGATCAACGCCTAAGATCTGACCGTGCCCCTCACGCACTTCGGAACAACAGTGACATCACTCTTCGAAGTGATGGTGTCCATCCGAAGTGGCTTAGAAGTAATGCCCACTCCTGATGACCTCAAAGTGACACGCTGCAAGGTGAAGAGCAAATCCACTGAAGTAATCGAAGTGTTCCTCAACTCGGAAGTGTTGGGCACTCCGAGGTACCCCCTTAACAGATCTTTCTGCCGCCACTGTCAGAAAGATATCTGTTAGGATCCCCTCTACCTCCAAGGATTAATTGATGTGACATCTCCATAGATCTAGTTGATGTGACATATTGACTTTATGTTAACTCAACTCAGAAGAACTAATTGCCCATCCATTCTAAACGCGACTGATTGACGCCTATGAGCGGACGCCTCATACCGTCAGATACATACACGTATCCCACATCCAATAGTGTTCAACGTCTATAAATACCCAAATTTTGGCAAGAGACAAAGGTAAGGAAACACACACAATTTAGCTCTCAATACTAAGAAATATATATTTTCCTTCCCAGTGTCTTGCACAACATGAGCACTGTTCCGATCACCCAACGCTGACTTGACCGTCGGAGTGTATGCGGCCGCCACCACCACTGCTGGTTCTGGCCGTGTGTTTCTGACCGTGCTTGTTGTGCGCAGGGAGAATTACGTGGAGTAGCTATCCGTTGGACATGTGGAGAGTCCAATTCTCGAGGTCAACAGTAAATATTTTAATGGCTAATATGGAACAAGAAATTGTGCGACTTATGTTAAACCATCTGGTCCAACCCAGTCTTTTCTGTTCCGACAGTATTTTTACGATACATTGATCATTATCCGCTCTTGTTGTGTGTTTTCCTTCTGCTCTAGTGGGGACAAGAGAGACTTTGGTCATTTGATGAAAATATCCATTTGACAGCATGACTTCCCGTTGTTTTTCTTCTACATATAATTATTATTTTTGGATCTCTTTGCATAGAGATCTGAGGCTTGGTTTATTTATTATGCTCCTGTTCTTCCAAATATGCTTCCACCTGCGGGCATACACTATCTCTTCCCCCTCTTGTCCATAATTTCCAGGAGAGCTTTGAATGGAAGCTCGGGAAGTCTAGAATCTTCGGTAAATTTCTGTATTTTGCCATTATAATTTTAACTTTCATTGCATATCATTAATTTCTCTGCATTTCAGCATGTTGATTGCTCCTGAAATTGGTGGAAGCTGACCTCAGGATTGAATAGTATTCAGACTTTTATGTGTTGTCTTTAGTTAAACTATTTAGCAGCCGGTACAGTATATCTTTCATCCAGAAGCTGATAAGTGATTGGACGCATAAATTTGATTTTTTGCTTATGTTTGCATTTCTGATGAGTTGTGCCAATATAATTTCTTACTTTCTGGATGACTAGCTGTGGCAAAGCTTGGTAATATGTGCCTAGCTTCTGTTCGAGCTTATGATACTTCAACTGAAAGTATAAAAGCGCTCGATGCTGTGGAGTTGAAATTTCAAGATATAATCAATTCTCCATCATTAGATGCTGCTTGCCGGAAGATAGATAATTTGGCTGAGAAAAATGAACTTGATTCAGCATTGGTTCTCATGATTACGAAAGCTTGGTCAGCTGCTAAAGAATCAAAGATGATGTATGTTTATTGATCTCCTTATTTCATGCTTCTTTTTTCAATCTAACAGATTAAAGTTGTTAAGAGAAAAATTTTATAGTGTCGAGGGAAAATTTTGTATAAAAAAACTCACTTCTGTATGGATTTTGAAGGACTATCGTTTGCAAAAACTTCCAAAGGACGCATATTCTCGTTCTCCTCCAGATAATGAGTTACATATAACACAATTTCTTCTTTTATCAGGTGAAAGATGTATTGTATCATTTATTTACAGCAGCAAGAGGTAATCTCCAGAGGCTTATGCCAAAAGAAATCAGGATACTCAAATACCTGCTTACAATCAAAGACCCTGAGGAGCGAATTAGTGCTTTAAAGGATGCTTTTACCCCGGGGGAGGAACTTGCAGGAAAGGATATAGACTGTCTATACACGTATGCATCTTGAACCTAACCCATTAGTCACCCAGTTTTTATCATTGTTTCATTTTGGTTGCCTAACTTCCTTTTTTTTTTTTCTAAATATCTGATTTAGTGTAGAGTTTTTAATTTATTTTTGTTTTGCATTATGTCTGTTGAGTTCACGAAATGCTAAATGGATAATGGAAAATATGACGTGGATTGGGAAATCCATTAATGCATTGTTTTTATCGTCTAGTTGGAAAAAATGTGTCTTGTTTGTTGGATTACCGGTGCTTTCGAAATGCACCTTTCTAAAGAAATAATGAAAGAGAAGAAAAACTTTGCAAGAAAAAAGAAAGATCATAATGGCTTTTGCCTAGCTGGACGATAAAAACAATAATATGATACATCTTAGTTCAAAGAGAGTCAAGGATGATGAATCTTATGATAGAGATTAATATAAAGTTGAAAACACTTAAAAAAGAAACAAATAAGCCTATGTTTGGAAATAATTTATAGATGGTTTAATTTATAAGAATAATGCTACTTGTACATAATGTTACATACAGAGGAGGTATTTTATTTTTTTTATAACTATTGGTGTCCGAGCTAACTCACGCGCACCTTGTCTAATCCCATAAGGCCTTCAAATTTACAGTCGGGTACTCAACTCAGTGGTCCTAAGGGAACTCGAACTGAACATACAGAGATGTTTAAAAGAAAATAGTGATTTTTTTTTTTAATTTGGTTGAAGAAATTTTGACCTAATTATATCTCACCACATGATGTGTATGAAACAGTTGCATAAATTATTATGTACTTTTAGTACAACCAAATTTATAAATATGTGGAAATAAGTGGTGGATAAATAGTTTGGACATCAAATTCCTAATTGTGACACTAAAGTTCTATGAACTACGTTCACGGGAAGAAGTGGAGAATTTGAGTTAGGGGGGCATAATCAAACTTTGTAAAAATCGAAACATTGTTCTTAATTTTTGAATGATTAATATTTGACCTAAAAAAATGCTGATTTACATTTAAAAAACATTTCTTCATTAATATTTTACTCATCGTTTCCATCTATTTGATTTTGAACATTAATTTTAGGGAAAATTGCACCATCGGTACCAAACATTTCGTTTATTAGCAGAGTTTGCTCTAACCTTTCATTTGTACCACCGTGAGTACCAAACCTTTAAAAAACTTGCACCTAAGGTCCAAATGGATGATTTTTGTTAGTTTGACCGTTAGTTGACATAATAAATTGACTTTGACCAACTTTAAAAGGGGTAAAATTGTAACTTTGAATTGTACTTGAAAGCAAAAACAAAAACAAAAACTAATAACAGTGGAGTAGAAAGGGACTATTTTTTATTGTGTTCTATGTATCGTCAAGCTTTCAACATAGATTGTGGAGTAGAAACTAATGGTGGAGTAGAAAATGGAGATGTGAGCAATCGAAATGAAGTTGAACAGTATAATGGCGATTATATATAATGGCGATTATAGGAATAATATCATAGAAGGAAACTTTGTGGATTGGGATAACTTGCACATAATTCAAGGTAGTTTCGAAAAAAAAGATTTCGAGAATAAATCTCCTCCAAGAAATGAAAACAATGTTGATTTCTTCATGCAAGAGGACATTATTGGCACTTCAATACAAGTCGTGTCTTCAATTCCTTATAAATCATCAGTTATGATTTCGGAAAATGAGGACGTACACAACAATAAACTATTTCCAACTAAAAAGTTCTTTGATATCCAAACTTCAACTACTTGCCGTGAAGTACCAATTTAAATATAAAGTAAAGAATCAAATAGGAATGTGTATTCAGTCGTTTGTGTTGGGGAAAGTTGCAACTAGCAGTTACGGGCAACGAACATAGCTGACTAATCAACAAAAGTTGTTTATATCACTCTAAAAATTGCTTGAAATTTCGAAAAGGTCTATCTTTAGTCTATCAAGTTCCAAATTTAACACAAGAGTCCTATTTTTTAGTTTTTATCAAAATGTAGTCCAATTTTGTATCATCTCCTTGATGAATTGCCATAGCATCCAAGTTCTTATAAATAGAACTAAATTGCAAACAACTTTTTTTAATAGATAAATCTCCTCATACACGTGCACATGTTGACTACTTGTAGGCATTTCCGTATATTTCTTAATAGAGCATTACAAATTGGATATGGAACAAAATCAAAATGCTAAATGTAGTATGATTGAGACAAAATGAGACTATCAGATGTTCTAGAAATTTTAATTCCTAATATAACATCAACCACACCTAAATCCTTCATTTCAAATTTACTTGTTAGCATCCTTTTTGTAGTTTGAATTATGGTATCATTGTTATCCATAATCAACATGTCATCTACATATAAACATACTATGAAATATCCATTTGAAGTGTTCTTGACATAAACACATTTGTCACACTCGTTAATTTTGAAACCATTTGACATCATAACCATGTCAAATTTTTCATGCCATTTCTTAGGAGCTTGCTTTAATCTATATAGTGATTTAACAAATCGACACACTTTCTTTTCTTGTCCTGAGGCCACAAATCCTTCAGGTTGCTCCATATAAATTTCTTCATCTAATTCCACATTCAAAAATGCCATTTTAACATCCATTTGATGTATATCCAAACCATTCAATGCTGCTATTGCAATAAGCATACATATGGAAGTGATTCTTGTCACAGGAGAATAGGTATCAAAATAATCAAGACCTTCTTTTTGCTTGTAGCCTTTAGCAACAAGTCTTGCTTTATATTTGTCAATTCCTCCATCTACTTTCATTTTCCTTTTGAAAATCCATTTACATACCAAAGGCTTATTACTGGGAGGGAGGTCTACTAATTTGCAAGTATGATTTTGTAGAATGGATTCAATTTCACTATGAACAGTTTCTTTCCAATATGAAGCTTAAGTTGATGACATAGCTTCTTTAAAACTTTGAGATTCATTTTCTAACAAATATTTTAGAAAATCAGGCTCAAAGGAGGTTGACGTCCTAGCCCTCTTAATTCGTCTAGGTTGTTCATTTATAGATTCTTGATCTATAATCTCTTCGTTTTCACGATATCTCTTTTGTGAATTTGATTCACCTTGTATGTTATAAGGAAAAGTATTTTCAAAAAATATAGCATCCCTTGATTCAATAATCGTGTTAACGTGCATATCAGGTATTTCAGACTTATATACCATAAATCTGTACGCATTACTATGGTAGGCATAACCAATGAATACACAATCAATGATTTTAGGTCCTATCTTAACCCTTTTAGGTTTAGGAACTACTTCCTTAGCCAAATATCCCCATACCTTTAAGTATTTATAATTAGGTTTGTGACCTTTCTATACTTCATAAGGTATCTTTTGCGTTTTTCGATGTAGTAGTTTGTTAAGAATATAGTTGGCAAAAAGCAAGGCTTCCCCCCATAAGTTCTGTGGTA